AAAAAAAAAAAAAAATTACGTCATCCTTGGCGTAGCCCCCCCCCCTTTTAGGGGGAAAACGCTGAAAATCGATAAAAATTGGTAGACATAATCAAATTTTAAGCAAGCATTTTCAATCTTTTTGCACTCAGGAAAGCTTATGTCATCCTTGCCTTGATCCCTGCCTCCCTCTCCGTCACCCAACGTCATCCATCGGAGACCCCCCCTCCCCCTACTTGGATGACGTGAATTATTGACGGCCCGTTACTTTTACCTAAAAAGTTTCTCATTATCCCAATCGTGATCTTACGTTTCATGATTTTTTCATGGTTTCGAGTCTTGTGGACGTCGCGTCGAAGGGATTTTTCTATTTAACTCCACGCGGCCAGTGGAGTGGCGTGAATTGCGATATATCGATAGAAATGAAATTGAAACTCATGGTAAAGAATCGATTATTAAGGTGTTCTGCGAACACCCTGTTTATCGATCCTTTTCCATAGGTTTAAACGGCAGATCATGCGATATATCGCGAAGCACGCCACGCCACTGCACGCGGCGTGGTTCTTTCCTGGAAGGTCAAGTCCAATTAACCTATCCATAAGATCCACAGAAGCCTGCATAATTAACTCTTGGACTTTTTTTGTGTCAGGGCAAGGGCAAACCCTTCCATCACAGACATTTTTTTTCGACCTTTTTTTTAAAGTGTAATTTCTCATCCTGTTGCCAGTGATCAATCTGCAATGACCAATATTTCATGTGGAATTTTGTTTTGATTTTAGCAACATCCTTTCATCATGCGCGAGAAAGATGAAAACGGGAACTGGAAATTTTCGGGCTACTGCATCGATCTCATCGAGGAAATCAAGAGCCAAATAGGGTTCGAGTACGAAATATATGTCGTCCCGGACAACAACTTCGGCAACATGGACGAGAATGGACAGTGGAATGGCATGATTAAAGAACTCGTTGAAAAAGTAAGACGAAAAATTTTCACTGTGTCAACCTGTTGAACTTATGTCCATACCTATGTGGGTAGGTGTACTGAAATTATAACTGAGGTCACACAAATTTGGCGTTCTTTCCCAATCGAATAAAAGACCCCAGAACTTTTTATAGCTTGGAGCGAAACACTTGCGACGCACAATGGATCGAGTCAATAGGAGAGGTCGGACAAAATTTGGACACTTTAAAAGCTTATAACTCCATTCCTACAAAACTTTGGGGTTTTAAAGGTGGTTTAATTGGTTTCCTCGTGAAGTTTTCCTCTGGAAGCATCCCTTAAAATTTGAAATGATACGAAATAAACACCAAAATTGGCAATTTAAGTAACAAAGTTCATGTCCGACCTCTCTAATTGACTCGATCCACTGTGCGGCGCACGTTCGTCTTGGAAAAATTCGCCTTCAAAATCTGATTAGGCAACATAAACGGCTTGAGAGTGGTAATAGTTGCTTGCACCAGTTCAGTCACGTTCATTTGTTTCCTATTACCATTTTCGTAGTATATTAATCAAAGACCCAGTATAGATACAGAATATGAATAAAATCATCACAAGACAAGAAATCTCGTCAAAGTTTTTTGTGCAGTATCTTGAAAAAATTGAAAATTTCTATCATTAACTGGTAAATGAAAGGTTGCGCCCATGTCAAAACAAAATACTAGAGTGGCTCGATTTTGATTCTTTTCAGAGAGCGGATATAGCTTTGGGCTCTCTTTCCGTCATGGCTGAACGGGAAAATGTCGTTGACTTTACGGTGCCATACTACGATTTGGTGGGCATTACGATTCTGATGAAGAAACAAAAGGCTCCTACTTCTCTGTTCAAATTCTTGACCGTCCTGGAACAAGACGTGTGGATCTGCATTTTGGGGGCTTACTTTTTCACGAGGTGAGTGAGCCTATTCAACTTTGGAAAAACGTACGGTACATACACCTGGATCATTGAACGCGGGAGAGAGTAGCTAGTACGTAACAAAGAAACGTATTCTTTTCCGGATTAAAAATTTCACATTTTACGTCACAAAGATTCACTAGAGAAGGAAGCCAATTTCTTATGGAAGAAGGGGTGGGGTTTTCCAGAAGACCATATCTCACTCACATTCTGATCTATTAAACATGTCTTATTTTTTACGGATATATATATATTGAAAATGACAAAAGTTTTGCATACAAATGACTCCTGGAAGATAAGAGAAATATATTCAATGTCGAACGATGAAGGCTTTGACTTGTTGGTGCCGGTTTGGTTAGAAACCGAAAGAAAGGCTAAAATTTTCTTGAAATACCAGGTTTGGTATGTAACTTTTAAGACACAGCTTTGGCAGAATTTTTTCTCTCAAAACTGATGGCATCAGTGAAAAAAGCGTGAAATTTTCTACTGAGGTCTCCACTTCACTTTACCACAGCATACCTGTCGAAGAGTCGATCTTTTGATGAACCATAGGGAAGTATGAAGGAAGTATGAGGCTACCTCCATGGATACATTTAAAAAGCTCCGGATATTTTATTTAACTTTTTTGAAGATAACTGGGTACTCAATCAAGATATTTGGTTGACATTTTTCTGTAGATGTTTTTGAATGAGTGAAGAACTTCTGCAGAAATTTTCAAGGGTAAATATTGGGCAGCTTTATGGTTAAAACAAATTGGCTGAGACTTGTACCCTGGTAAAAATTGGCAGTAGAATCTGTGTTCCAAAATACCATAGACCTACAGCCGGCTGTAAGATTTTCAATAGCTTCTATTTGTATAGCCGGCAACACAATTTCTTATAGCCTTTTATAGCCGATGGCGACTAAGCAACAGCCTGGCGATAAAGTGTATGCTAAACGTTACTAATTATGGACTTAGTGAGTTTTTGGACTACCGCTCTCTTTTTGGGCCGTAGTATCTTGATTTATTTTGCGAGGAAAGCTCCGTACTTTTGAAGGATGCCTGCCATTCCTAACATGTTGGAGCGCCTGCAATTTTGTATGATACTGTGCAATACCTCTGGTGTGAAATAGTTGCTTCAAGCGCCGTGGTACGCTGCGGCGCGGCGGGCGGGCAGCCAGCTCGAAACGCGCACTGGCGCCTTCAAACCTAACAGGGATACTTCACGCATTGCGCAATACGTGAAGTATCCCTGTTAGGTTTGAAGGCGCCAGTGCGCCGCCGCTCCGCTTTGTGTTAGGCTCTAATATTTAATCTCGTGGAGTCAGCGTTTTTCAACTCATGACTTTGAAATGTTTGCACACTCTGTATGGATTATTCTCATTTTAATTGATGAAAAAAAATATGTAGTAAAGGAAAATATAATGTGCCTTTTGTAAATATTAAGGTGATTCCGTACAAACTTAAGGATTTACAAAGCACACGAATTTCTACACAATTTCTTATAGCCTTTTATAGCCGATGGCGAAAAAGCAACATGCAGCCAGGCGATAAAGTGTAAAGCCCGGCGATAGGAACTATAGCCCGGCTGTATAATTTTTTATCGCTTCGTGTAGTCCGGCCGTATAATTTTTTCCACTTTCTACAGCCAGCTGTATGATTTTCTATCGCCTTCTTCAGTCGGCTATGAGAACTCATATGGTATTTTGAAACGCAGCCCCTATCGCCAATTTTTACCAGGGTAGCGTCTTAATCGAAGAGGCGCACTTTTAAAGCTTAGTCATTCATTTTATAATTTAATGGGGACCTTCGCATGCCAACGGCCAAAGTGCGAAACCGCGTATCTTTGTCGTGCGACTACCAGAATTTGCAGTAAAAATTTCACGTTATTAAGTTGGCTTGTTTATTTTTGGTAAAATATAATGGGAGCGAAAATTTTGAAACGACACAATGGGGATATGTGATTTCGCACTTTTCCATCGATATACGTCTTTTGATCTGCTATTCATGTACTATTAATACGTTATGATAGTAAGTATTTCCTTAATATAACATGACGATTATAAAATTTCAGCTTCCTCATGTGGGTATTTGATCGATGGAGTCCGTACAGCTATCAGAACAACCGCGAAAAGTACAAGGACGATGAAGAAAAACGAGAGTTTACTCTCAAGGAATGTCTCTGGTTCTGCATGACCTCTCTCACCCCTCAGGTATAACATTAAAAGTTACAAAGCTCGATCACGCAACTAAAAATACATATACTTACGACAAGCACAAATTTAATACGCGGAAATTATGACAATATATGTAAACTTAACATGAATACACTTAAATGAACTGAAAGATAGGCAAAAAATGGCATACCTATCGAACGGGTCTACCTCTACTCTTGAGGCATCTAAGTACCTACTCGAAATTTTTCGTGGCCTTCATTTCAGAATTCATAAACTTTTTTTAACCAACTGTGTCCAATTAGCAAGCGTACACGTATAATGCATTGCGCCGTCCTCTTCCCATGTAACGCATCTTGTCTCCCGAATCAAACTTTCGTTTTCAACTTTTCACCCAACATCCCACCGATGCGAGAAAGTAACGTGGTTGAATTGGACTACATTTTGCAATTTGGAAGTAAAAATTCTAGCCCGGTTTGAAAACAACGTATGTGCCAAGAGTTTTCCTATGCACATAAGTGTTTTTCCGGAAGAGCCAGAATTTATAATTCCAAATCGTAAAATTCTGTCCAATTGAAGGATAGTTAAAAGCTACTTTTAATCTAAAATATTTCATCCAAAGCTACATTTCCTCAGCCCCTCTCTCCCTCCCCCTTTCTCTCTCCTTCCTCGCCCTCTCTGATTTTCTCCTTCTCTTTGAATCATGCCTTCCTTCGGAAATTTACGTATAAAATACATGGGTATCCTACCTAGGTATCAAAAAAAGGAAGGAGGAGGAGGAGAAGAAGAAGAAGGAGAAAAACGAGGCAAGGAGAGGGAGGATGGTTAATTTAATTTCAGGAGCAACTGATGTTGTTTCCATTTGGACTGCATTTTGCAATTTGGACCTATAAATTCTGGCTCGTCTGAAAAAACACTTATATGCATAGAGAAACTAATGGAACATGCGTTGTTTTAAAACTAGGCCAGAATTCATAGTTCCAAATTGCAAAATGAAGTCCATTTGACGTGGCGTTTCGCAAGAATTATCTGGCCAGCATTTTGCAATTTGGAATTATAAATTCTGGCTCTTCTGGAAAAACACTCATGTGCATAGGAAAACTATTGGCACATACGTTGCTTTTAAACCGGGCTAGAATTTATAGTTCCAAATTGCAAAATGTAGTCCATCTTGAAGATTCCGTGGATTTCAGGGAGGAGGAGAGGCACCAAAAAACCTATCCGGACGTCTGGTGGCGGCCACTTGGTGGCTTTTCGGTTTCATCATCATCGCTTCCTACACTGCTAACTTGGCCGCCTTCCTCACGGTCTCAAGATTGGACACCCCCGTTGAGTCCCTCGATGACCTCTCCAAACAATACAAGATACAGTACGCTCCCCTCAACGGTTCCGCCGCCATGACTTTCTTCAAAAGGATGGCAGAGATCGAGGCTCGATTTTATGAGTAAATATCACTCTCCTCTTCCAATATTAGATATACGTATCTGACAATTTTTTCCTTCACTCATCAAATCACAGATCTACACTGAAAAAAAAATTATCGGCGTTTTTACCAAGGTCCGTTGGTACCTTTACCATCTCAATTTTTTTTACCAATTATTGGTATTTTTACCAAGACAGACTGGTAAGCTTACCTAAAAACCGATATTTTTACTGTTTTTTTCGGGTAAGAATACCACTTTTATTGGTAATCAATTCCTGGTAGCTTTGCCATTTTATCTCGGTAATTCTACCACAGTCGATAAAAAATATTGGCGTTTTTACCAAGGTCCAGTAAAATTACCGAGAAAATTCAATAATTTTACCGAGATTCTTGGTAAAATTATCAATTCCATAAATGGTAATTTTACCAAGAGAAAACTGGGATCAAATAGAACCCTGAATTCTTGGTAATTTTACCCTTTTCTTAGTAAATACACCCAGATTTTTTTTCAGTGTACTCCCCTACAATCAACAGAAATACGAACCCACTTACATGCGATGAACCCAATATTACTACCAAAATTCTGAAACTCTTCACCTCTCTTAATTTAAAAATCTAAATTTTCGTATATACTAACATTTTCAAAATTACCTGTAAGGACGTTAATAGCCTGAGACGCTGAATGTCTGAAAATCATACATAACTAACTAACTGAATACAAGAGACATAATTGGAATCTCGGGCCGTGTGGCACCCCCTATTTTTAATGCAACATGCAAGACCTGGCGCACAGTGGATCGAATCAACGGGAGAAGTCGGACAAAATTCGGACACTTTAAAAGCTTACCTATACCTAACTCCGTTACCACAAAATTTTGGGGTTTTAAAAGTGGGTTCATTGGTTTCCTCGTGAAATCCTCTTATAGAAGCACTCCTTAAAATTTAAAATGTGACGAGATAAACATGAAAATTTGCGGTTTCAGTCAAAAATATCATGTCTGACCTCTCTGATTGACTCGATCCACCGTAAGGCATCTCGGATTGCATGACCGGCGATTCCCGCCAATTTCCGGGGTCTTCTGATACCTACCTACCCAAATTTGTTGTCCACTGATCCCTTGAGCAGTGGCGAGTCTAGAAAGTTGGCAGCAGTGTATTTCCTCCATATTTAAATCCATTAAAAATATCGACTTTAAGTGAGGCAAGCTGCCTCACCAAGAATCGATTGGTTTACATACATTTAAATGGAGAAAAACAGTGTTGCCAAGTCTCAAGAATCGCCACTGCCCTCGGGATTCGCTTCGTACTACGCAGATAATTCATTGAAATTAACACAAAAATCCGCAAAAAAGTTTTTATACAAAAAATTGAATTACGCAATGAAATTTTTGCAATAGCTGATGTGACTTGGTTCCTTTCTGCTTAACGCGGTCCAAATAAGAGTGAAATATGTTTATGAATACATGAAAACCAAGCATTGGGTATACTTAGATTCCTTTCTGGTCTCCTCTACTAATTTAATGTAAATAAGAGTTCCGAGCACTGTTTCATTCAGTTACCCACTGGAATTATGGAAATGTTCCAGGATATGGAAAGATATGAGCTTGAATGACAGTCTCTCGGATGTTGAAAGGGCCAAACTGGCCGTCTGGGATTATCCGGTGAGTGACAAATATACCAAAATGTGGCAGGCGATGTCCTCTGCTGGCCTTCCTAGCACCTTGGAGGAGGCCATTGCTCGAGTGAGAAAGTCAAAGTCCTCCAGTGAAGGGTTTGCTTACTTAGGTAAGTTTGCCGTTCCAGAAGATTAACCTGGATCCATTAATTTTAGAGCTACACATTTACTCTGTATCAAGTTGATTACATACTCAAATCCAAGTGGCATTTTTCAACGGAAAGATCGCGATGTATTGCGATTTTATCAGCGATAAAATCGCTAAGATCATAAACATTTGAGCGATTATCCTCAATCTCATTGCAATAAAATATCGATTTTATCGCCCGGCAATTTATCGCGATACTATCGAAACAAAAATCGCGATATATGACGATTTAATCCAGATTTTCGACGAAAATTGATCGCGATTTCATCGAACAAAAAATTGCGATGCATAGCGATTTAACGCCATGAATCTCAATTTTTTATTCAATAATATCGCGAAAACTTCCACCTTTATCTATGATCGCGATGATCAACCGATGAAATCGCTATTTTTCTCGATCACTGCTACTTAGGAAGCGCCCTTTTTTCGCGCAACAACATAGGTACGACTGCAATGAGTGATACAGTTTTCTACCGCAAGCGGAAATGATTGAGGGCTAGATAGGGATGCAACTATTCGTGTTCTCGGGATGTCCGAGTTGCGTGCACTAAAAATTGCAGGCGCACTGGCTTTCTTAAGCAAGCGTTCGTCTGCAGTTTTTAGTTCTCAAGGGTTATTTACGTAACTAAGTACATTATTTTACAACCTCCTTTACAATTGAATCCTTGAGATGCGGTTGAGTAAATGGCTGCATTGCCAAGTGATGCAACTTTCCGCAAATCTACTGCCTAAAATATTTCGACGTAGGCATCGCGGATCATTAAATACTCAAACCCCTCTGTTTTCGTGGATGCAACTGTATTCGTGGTCTTGGGAAATCTGTGTTGCATACGAAACAATTGCAGGCACTGTGGCTTTCTTAGGCACAACGAATGATGGCTGCGCTGCCATGCTGAGGAAAATGCCGTATGAACATTTGAGAGTTGCCGAATTTCCTCCAATAAAATGTTTATTTTTGAGAAAAGTTATCAATATATTTCCTTGAAATTTTTAGACTGTTACGATCAAATTACGAACGAAATGTTCTGAAAAATCGAAAGGAAAATGTTGATAAATATTGCCGAAAATTCGTGATTTATCAAAGGAAATTCAGTAAAGCCTAAAGGCTCATACGGCGTTTTTCCTTAGTACGGCAGTTCGATTGTTAGTTCTCAAGGGTTTTCCACGATGAATTCACAGTCGTGTTTACCATGAAATTCTCGGAATTCGAATGAGCCGTGTTGCATCAGGCGCCGTTGCCAAATAAAGCAAATTTTCCGCCAAAAACGTTTTCACAAAGGCAATCGCCGATAACATTTCCGCAATCTGCACAATTTTGCAACGCTACCATGGTGCTACACGACACAACCAAATTTCGAGGATTTCATGGTAAAAACGTCTGTAAATCCTATGTTAAAAAACCTTTGAGAGCTAACAACCGCAGCCATCATTCGTTGTGCTAAAGAAAGTCAGCGCGCCTGCAATTTTTTGAGTATGCAACACAAACATCACAAGACCACGAATAGTTGCATCCAGATCCAACCATCAAAAAAGCCGGGCAGCTTTCAATTTTTTTTAAACTTTTCTCGACTTATCTGAGTTATGGTCAACATTCCTTGTCGAGTTTAAAGCCGAAGTTGAGAAAAATATGGTAGATATGTTTGTGAGTGTTTGTTCTACAGTTATTTGGGTTGGATTTCCTGAAAGAGTGCACTGCTTGATTATTCAAGCAGACACAATAATATACAGAAGTTCAAAGACATTAATGGCAAAAAATCAGATTTTTTGGCTGATTTTGATTGATTTAGCTGTACCTCTGGCTACAAATATTGGTAGTGACTACTGTATCGGGAATGTAAAATAGTAAAGACATTTTTTTATTTGTACTTTTTATTTAAACAAGAAATAGACATGAGTTCATCAACATAACACTATAAAAATACAAATTAACTCGTAAAAGTTTTGACAAGCCAAAAGTATAAAATACTGACACAGGTAGGATTGACAACTTGCTTTTTTGGTAATTTAAGTAATGATCGGCTTTAAGCTTAGGGTTGGTGAAAATGAAAAAACACAAATCTGAATTGTTGTGCATCAAAATTTGTTTTGACCGAAGAGTATTCTGTACTTGCCTTTTTTTCCAGAAGTACTCGGAGAATTCTCCGAGAGGAATGATAAAAATCACACGAACCTTCAAGAGAATATCGATTAATTGGAAATCACAGAGCAGTGTGGAAATACCTACACTGGGTTTTTTTTAGAAAGGACCTATCTGTTTTTGAGATGGGATTTAATGAAAATTTAGTTTTACAAGGGCAAGGTTTGAGGGTAATCAAATTCTATAGATAACTAATAGGAAAACTAAAAAATTATGGTTAAATTATCAAAATGGTGCCTTTCGTGGACAAAACTTTCTTTTCTTGAAATGTTTGCACATAAATACGTTCTGCTAACTGAGAATTGCATTTGGTGAAAAGTACCTTTTACGAATGCTCACTGCTTGCCTCTAGTGGCTATCTAACATAAGTCACCAGCTCTAAACTCTATGTCTTTTTACAAAAATCCCAATGTATGTAGCTCTGCACTGCTAAAAACCACTGAAATGTGTATTGAAATAAAAAAAAAAGTAAATCAGGAAAGTTATGATGTATTGCACTAAAAAAGATGTTTTTCTAGTTTCACCATTAATATCTTATTATTTACAACTCAGCTGTTCACCAAATGTTTGGTGAAAAGTCCATTTTTTAAGAACAGTATTTGTTCGAGAAATTCAGTATGATATCATACTACAGAATGTAAGGACTATGAGCTTAAAGCTTAACTGCTCACCAGAGCATTAATTTATCAAATAGCACTTTAAAGATCTTCATTCTGACAACTTTATACTGCCTGAGCAGTTGGACAAGCTATCACATGAGCTGTCCAAGAATTACTTAATAAGAGTTTTACATGTTTTTACGTCTGACAAAAAAATCTGATGATCAAAAAAGTGTTTTTTAAATAGCACATTGTTGCTGAGAGTAATGTGGGCACACATTTCCACATTAACTACCCTCAAAAGCAAGCTTCAATTATACTTGGGAATATGAAAAATATTCTTTAAAATACTAGGTTCTGGACGTCTCGGAATATTTCCATTGCAATGTTATATTACAATATCGCATGAGCTAGAGACCTGTGCAAGACTTCCTCGAGAAATAAATTGATACATGTTGATCTTTTTATTGATCATTGCAAAAAATAATGTGAAAAAATGTCACTGCTATGATAGTAAGCTTTGAATTTTAACATCTTAATGAATGAAAGTTTGACAAAAGTGTGATATACAATGGTTTGAACTGATGCTTATTATCTAAAAGGAGCTATATATAACTCATTGTGCTAAAAAAGCAAGTGACTCAAAAACTTCAACTGAGATATGTCAAGCTCAAGACTTAAGAGATGACACACAATAAAAATTATTGGAATGCAATGATATTACAACATATGTAAAATAATATATTACAGAGCTACTACATTCAAGTGCCCCCTCCTAACATAAGTAAAAGTTATTGTAAAAATTCTCCTCAATAATATGAATGGTATTTATTTTTGTTGTTGATTAATATTTCAACATAATAGGGGACTATGCGGGAAAAAGAGCATAAGTAAAAGGTGCAGTATTTGGAGAAAAGCTCATTTAAAAGTTCAAAATGGTATCTTAATGAACTGAGGGGACCGATTGGTCAAACCAAAGGCAATTTTTTTGACCTAGATCTTAAAATTTTTAAATTCATTGATGGGAGGGAAAAAAAACCGCCAGGCAGAGAACATAGAGGTTACGTGCTATTTTTCAAGTGACAATGCAGTTCAAAAGACCATCATCATACAGCAAAGTTGAAACTTAAACAAACATAAAACGGCATAAAACTCCAAAAACGAGCATTTGACAGGTTCGAAATTTATACAATCATGGAATATCAATGATCATGGAAAAACTTCCCTTCATACGACTCAGGGCATAGATGTGCAGTACAAAAATTCCTCTTGTTGAATACTGAGAGCGTGCCTTTCTCGTCCTTTTTTTTTTTAGTGTAGAATTTAAAAAACACGTGTAAGACTCGATTGCATAACATGTGAGAAAAAATGACAGCGTGAGTCAATCATTTCCATATTATGTCTGATGATGACTATACGGTTGGTTGATTAATAAGTGCATTTTAAAGGTACATTGATGCGCTACTCATATTAATGAGCAAGCACCAATCAACCGCCTCTTAGTTGCAATTTTTTTCTTCATTTTTTTTTTTTTTTGACGAAAAAATAAAATTAATGAGTCAGGCTAATGATAGATTGAAAAAAGGATGATGTCATTTAAAATTTGTTAAAGTAAATACATTTAAAAATACTAAGAAAATGAATTTTTCATTAACACTATTTGATTTTCATGAAAACATATTACTTAGTGAAAAAGAAAATTAGTCTCTTCGAAGCAAATGTGACCAATCAATAATCATGCAATTGTTTTTTAGGAGATGCAACAGATATTCGGTACCAAGTCATGACAAATTGTGATCTTCAAATGGTGGGTGATGAGTTTTCGAGAAAGCCGTACGCCATTGCAGTGCAACAAGGATCTCCACTTAAAGATCAATTCAATAATGCGTAACAATTTTTATTTATATTCTGTTAAGATGTACTTTTGGCAGTTAATTCCTAGTTATAATCTGCTACAGCCATTGTGTTACTAAGCTGATGAAAAACTATGTTCATGTGGGAATAAGAAATTTCATCATGATAAAATCCTCGAAACAATGCCTGTAGTAACATTTGAGTCTCAATAGAAATAAGTAGATGGGCCTAAATAAATATTTTACTGATATTAAAGTCAACATACTCTAAAACGTACAACAACAATTTGGGATCCTTTATCTCGGGTATCCTTCCCCTCTGTACGGTAGAGAAGTTGAATATAATACGATTAACATAAGGTGAGAATTTGGAGACAAAATTGTCCCCATTATACCTGCACACTGACAAAACTCATCGAGCTTGAAATTAAGCGTACAAAGGTTTCTTTGATCTGGATTTTTCCCTTTTGCATTAACGCAAATAAAAAAAGGAAAATATTTTTAACATACATCAAGTTTTGACTACCTTTGAGTTGGAGCAGTATTCCTTACAGTGATATGTTTTAAAATTTTCAGGATTTTGCTGCTCCTGAATAAGCGAAAACTTGAAAAACTGAAAGAAATATGGTGGAATCAAAACAAGATGAAGAAAACATGCGACACCCAGGATAATCAGTCTGATGGCATCAGTATCTACAACATTGGTACGGAGACAAAAATTAATTTGGTTCTCCATTCTTTCAAAGATTTCACTTAAGAATAAGCTATAATGATAGAAATAACAGACTCTTGAAAAGAGCAGACTATTATTAATACTGAAAATTACCGATTAATAGAAAGGACCCTTTCACATCATACTTCAGAATCTTGACGAATCATATTTTTCTGGAGACAAAACTACCTTGTCAACTTACATGAAATTTTCATTGAGCAATACATAAAATCACAAACGGTATTCGAAAAATTAACCTCGTCGTTTTCAACACTTGTTCTGAGAGAAAATTCTGAAACACAAGAACCAAAAAGTGCCTTTCCCTGCACTGAGCTCTTCACTACAACTTCACCTCTCGGCCAAAGCTTCACAAGCGTCATTTACACTTAGACGCTATGTTGCGGGACATCTCAATCTTGTCTTAATCTTCCTCCAAAACTTTTGCACATTCTTACATTAAAATTTTAGAGATTGATCTTGAAGAAAAAGGAAGGTAAGAAAACATGTGAGTTGGTTTGTTATTTTTTCCATAAAAAATTGAACAAGTTTGAGAAGTTTGGCGATGTAGCGCCTAAGCACAATTGAACTACATTTTGCAATTAGGAACTACATTTCCTATTCATTTATAAAAACACCTACGTCTTCGGGGAAACTAATGGTACATACGTTGTCTTTAAACTGAGCCAGAAATTTTAGTTCCTAATTGAAAAATGCAGTCCAAATGGCACTAGAGATACCTTAACCAAAATGTGACAAAATTGAATCATTCAAATCAATTGTTTTTTCTTTTAGATTATCGCACATTCATATTCTTGCCTTGAGCCTCTCATTACCTTCATCTCATTTTTTGTACCATTCCCAGGAGGTGTATTCATTGTAATATTTGTGGGAATCGGGTTGGCTTGCGTGACTTTGGCCTTTGAATATTGGTGGTACAAGTACAAGTACAACTCAAAATCCACCACTAACGAGAATTCAGCCCAACCAGTTATCTCTGGAAAACTATCCAAGAATTTCGAGGGATCAAGGAAATTTTCCGACTTCAGAACACAAAGCAAACAAGCAAGCATTCAACAAGGCTTCAAAAGGTAAAATTTTAATATTTGGACTTGGCCAGAAATAATTCACAGACTTTTCCAGGTTTTCTAATACCAAAATAAACGAAATACCCTGACTTTTCCCATCAACAATCTGCACAAACTGAACTAAAAAGTGACAATCTTTCGTGTTAATGTCACTGCAAACGACAGATACGAGTGACCCTTTCTTCTTCAGGTATTAAGTCATTGAAAACAAAGTTTCAATCTTAATTGAAAATTATTCTTCTATTCACCATTTCGAGTGTAAATCAGAGTATTGAGTCCCAAATCAGACAGAGACTTGGTTTGATTGTGACTAGCACTCATGTTTTTTTCCATTTTCCTTTTATTTTCAGTTTTAAAATTTTTCAAACTTTCAGTCTTTTTCATCGAAATTCCTGACTATTCCCTGACCTCATAGAACTCCCTGACAATTCCTGGTTTTCCAAACCTGTAGACACCCTGTGAAGAGAGTCAAGGTGCAACATGATATTAAGCTAAGATTGATAGATTAAGGTCAATCTTGTGCTGGTTGAAACTGAATATTTGGAATCTCTTAATTTATTCCATCTACGTTATGATACTTTCTCATCATCAAGTCTCCTTTTCCATTCCATGCCTTTTTTCCCCCACTGCAGAGATCATAAGGTGGAATTGTTCGTGGCAAACAAATTGAGGGAATTTTTTTAAATGAAAGTTCAAATGGATCACAATTTGCAATACGGAGTTAGTATTTCTGATTCATTTTAAAAACAACATTTCAGTGGCTCACGAATGATACTGCCTGTCTGCAATCTGGTGATTTTGCAGGACGAAAAGAAAACTTCGTCATTTTTTTAATTATAGGGCCAGATTTGTACTTTTTCCATACATTACAGAGTCACTGAGAAGCTCCCCTACAGAATTGGGAAAAAACTAAATCATCAGCTTGCGTATTTTATATTGTAGAATGTGAGAAAGTCTCTAACTCTTTTTGGCCGCGATTGTTAGTAAGGTGGTATCATTCGTTTGCCCTCGGTTTGTGTCATTATTCTCTCTATGCAGATACGTGCTATTATTGGTGAGCGAAAAATAGTAATTTCTTGTTGCAAAATAATCAAAATAAAATCCGTATCTGAAAAATTTAACTTCATCAGCGAATGAACTCTCTTGACCCAATGGACAATACAAAGAAGCTGTTTACAAAATGAGCATACTTCAATTTATGAATTACTTAAACAATTTGCACACTCTGGGTGAAAATTGCAATGATCAGTGTTCTAAAGGATATTCATCTATTGACTTTAACACATTATGTGCTCAAATTCTAGAAATTTCAGACTAATTTTTTCTACAATTATAAAACCTGAATCAGATGTCCACTTGCTGCTTTATTTTTGTAATTTTGTGCTGTGAGCGCATTATGGGAGATACCAATTAGGCTTCCGTTTTTATTTCTTCCCTTTTGAATATTTCAGACACTCTCGGATGGGACCAATTGCAACTGTGACGGACAACTGGTAAACTTTGATGAAAGAATGGCTGGCTCTCTGAGAATGAGAGATATCCAGTACATTAAAGGAAATTATTACATGAATAATAGAACGTCAACCATTGTCTACTGTGGTATGATGAGCAAACAGAGGAGCTCCTCAACAAATGAGGTGGTGACAGCTTTACGGTGAAAAACTTAAACATACTTTTTTCATCCTTATTTAAATTCATTTCTGAGAGATTAAGTGACACAAGATCAATCTTGGATGGCTAAAACATGTATCAGAGCCTAAAAATATCAGCTCATTTTCAGGCAACTTATCAGAAAGTGTCCATTTAGAAAAGAGGAGGCTACTAAACCGATTATAAAACAATGAGAGTAGAGAATGAAGATTTTACTTTAAAACACTATATCGTGGTTTTCTAGAATTTGATTTATGGCAAGTTTTTAGAGCAAATGAGAACCATGCTATTATGTTGTAAACTATAGGCATACATCAAATTTAACAATATTAACGATGATTTGTTTTTAATTTGATCTTTGATAATTATACTTTCAATGATATACATTTTACAAAGATTAATTTGTCATCAAAAAGGTAATTCATTGTCAGATAAGCTTGTACCCGAAAATACTTTCGTGAAGCTTCAGCGAATAAGCTCAGTGAGAGGGTGAGGGCTCTCGGTTCACTAAAACTCATATTATACAAAACAATTCCGAAAATATATTCAGATATCCATTCCATTGTTAGGTAATATCTCTTACTGCTTTGCTCAATTAAAATAGGAACAATTTTTTTAACATACGAAGGAAGTATTAATAAAATAGAGCTGAATTCCATGAAGAGAAGCTAAATTTTGATAAGCGTTTTTGTCTGTTCCAAATATTTCCGTATTATTCCTCACCTATGCAAGCTACTGGCCTCATATTCTTATCCTACAGGAAATGTTTTGAGTTCCTCTTATTTTAACCAATTTCATCTAGAACACTCAAAGTACTATCTGACGGTGAAAAAGCCATAAGCACTTCCAATTCAGTACGATAGAAAACTCAGAATACTTGAGTTGAAAATCAGCTTGAAAAATCTTCTTAGGAAGTTTTAGAGATGTGAGTGGAGAGAAATTCTGAAAAAATAAAGCACATTGTCAATGAATCATAGTAAAAGACAGAAAGAAAGGGGTGGTACCCTTGTTCTAATCTAGTGTATTTACTTAGTGCTCGGTTTTTTTTTTTATTTTAAATATTTTAGATTGCTGTTGATTTTAATTTCAAATTCGGAGGTGTCATAATACATTGTTTCCCACACAAAGGTTTCCCGCATACTCTTGTAAACACTTTAATTTTTTAAGTCGATCTTGCAGCCTTGAGGTGGAGTTAAGTTCCTTCATCTAGGAAACGACGAATGATGCCTCACAAAAACAAAGAAGACAGGTAGAAACCTAAAAATATATGTATTGCTGAAATAAATGAGTTGGTTTGCTGTCAACAAGCATTATCAAGTAACACAAGATGTGTGATTAAGATAAATTTATATTGTTATACATAGTTTAAAAATTTTACAACCATTATGAACAAGGTGGAAGTCTTCTCCTGTCAAATCGTTCGTAATATAAGTTGATCTTTATACTTGGAGATACCTCAAGTGTCTTCAAAGCATACATTAAATTGTTTGTTTGACTAAAATAATAAACCTAACTTCATGGTGGAAAAGTTGAAAATGAAATTAAAGGCTGAATAGAAGCAATGAACTTAGAAAACGATGATACCTTATGTGATAGATGAAAAATCATTCAATATAACTTGCAAATCTAAAGAGGCATAATCAATGTTTTGCTTGATATCAATGACAACATTTCTAATCTGCAAAATACAAACAAAGAAGCTTATTAATTAGCATACAATTTGTACATAATACGAAAAAATGAGCAATTCTTAGTTTCACGATGAAACACTGAAGAATGTGTAAATTTAAGCAATATGAGGTAAGTTTTTTCATTGAAATTTCACACAGAACATGATTTGTGCGACGAAACTTATTGGAAGTGACTTCTAACTAAGATAATACCGTTTTTTGATGCATAAATTGAAACTTTCTGCTCATATAATTTGCTTGAGTTGAATTTCACACGTTGCAGTTATAATCTTTGCAGTATGAAAATATGAGAACCTCAATATCGTCGCTTTGTCTCACCTATTGCAATTTGTTCCACTTTAAAAAACATGGGATGGGAAAGGAAAACCGCTTATTGAGAAGCCTAAAGGAACCGTTGTAGTACTGGATTTGACCTGAGTAAACTCTGGTTTTTCATGTGTGCAGGAAATTCAAATTTTTCGTGCTTAATAAAACCACTGATATATTGATTGGGAGCTAATGTCAGTAACTCCTGTTGCACAAATCATGTACTACAAGAAATTTTGAAAAGGAAACATATATTAGAGCGCTTAATTTCATGCCTTGTAGAGCCATTAAGAAATAATGCAAATATTTTTATTGATACTGATTATAGTTATTATAACAGTGCAAAGATGCATGTTCAGAAATAACTTCTTCCCCTTTATGTTTCCACTTATGTCCTATAGAATTAATTTGGTCTGAAGATAATGTATCAAGATCTAATGTTGTACAGATGCACTAGAAACATAAGTTCAGTCATAGAGGCTGTCTGATAGTTTACCCACACGTGCACTTGAAGCATAGAGATACTAACAACATAAAAGCACTAATAACAAACTTAAGACATTTTTCCACTTGCTACGTTCAAAATTAGCACCGACCTCTTTTTAAAAAATATCAGTGCTAGTTTTTAACCAGCAAATACGCATGATATGTGTTATAGATAGATTTCTATTCATTTATTATTTTTTTCAAATATCTCATGAAGAAAAAGAACAAATGAATCATGTTTATTACTGCAGCGTAGATGAATAATTTGAAAAAGACAAAAAAAAAATTTAATCACTTATTGAAGTCTACTTTAGTTCATCTGAATTCTGAAAGCACTGATTTTGTAGTAAACGCAGATACTTGCACAAACTTGTTCTAATGTTGAAATTTGTTGTGATTTTCTGCTGAATTTTACTTTTATAGTCTGTAAATAAAAAGTTCTTTCAAGTTTATTTCTTTACACTCCTTTTAATTCAAACTTTCCTTTATTAGTAGAGACAAAGAGGTTTTAAGTAATGTAGGTTAGTAATTTTGGAAAAGATCAGTAAAATTCTGATTTCCACGTTTTTTCAGATTCGATTCCCTCTTCAAAGTAAATGACATATTTAACATACAAGATTTTCATGAAAGAGTATAGATTAAATATGTCCTATTATTCAGGTGTTAAACCATTGCAATCCTGGGTAAGGATTTCAAACTCAAGAAGAAAATTCAAATCTAAAAATAAAAGAGCGCCCAGCTTGACTGAGAACTGATTTTAAAATGTTTAACTGCGCTCTTCCATCTGTAGGGGTCATTTTAGATTAAATGCCTTGAAAGGTACAACCACTGAAATTTGGTTTTTTACCCCTTGAAAAAAACAGGAACAAATGAGATCTGAGATTTATAAATTACAGTAATTATAACTACACTAGCTGCTTCAGCTCGCTACGCTCGCTTGCGCCGCTAGCCGGGGGCAAGCCCCCTGGACCCCCAGTTACTTGCTCCGCGAGTAACTGTTGGCTCGCTTTGCGAGCCAAATTTTGCTACTACCAGTGCTTAGAGGACTTCCTGGAGGCAAAATGATAAATTCAAAAACAAAGAATAGGAAACTAAAAATTACCTACTTTTAGAAAAAGAAACATCCTTGAAAAATAAATAACACTCCTGGAAAAGAAAATCAGAACACTTTTTGAAAATGTAACGGTGCGAAAGGGTGAAGATAAATCACCAATTCTCTTGGAAGAAGACATGAGTGAAACTGCCGTAGGACCCATGCTAGGGTAGAAGGGTGACACGTGTTGTGAGCAGGTAGGGATGGGTTTACGTGGAGAGGGAAACGGAAAATCAGAGGGTGGGAGGTCCCCCAACCATATGACTCGTCCAGCGTCAAAAACGCAAATATGTCGTTATCAAATCGAGGTAAATTTTGCAACTTCGGTCGCGCAAATCGAAAAACGAAGGGGTCTTGGCACATCTAGACCCTATGAGCTTTCATTTAAAACAAATCCGAGGAAAATCGGTCCAGTAGTTTCCGAGATCGAATTAGCACAAACTGTCCAGCGTCAAAAACGCAAATATGTCGTTATCAAATCAAGGTAAATTTTGCAATTTCGGTCGCGGAAATCGAAAAACCAAAGGATGTTGGCACGTCTACAGCCTAAGAGCTTTCATTTAAAACAAATCCGAGCAAAATCGGTCCAGTAGTTTCCGAGATCGAATTAGCACAAACTGTCCAACGTCAAAAAAGCAAGCATGTCGTTATCAAATCGAGGTAAATTTTGCAACGTCGGTCTCGCAAATCGAAAAACTAAGGAATGTTGGCACGTCTACAGCCTAAGAGCTTTCATTTAAAACAAATCCGAGCAAAATCGGTCCAGTAGTTTCTGAGATCGAATTAGCACAAACTGTATGAGGCCAAAAAAGGCCTTAGGATATTAAATATATAGAAGATAGATGTTGAGAAGCCAAGATTAGGCCTACCATATTTGTGAAGAAGGCGGTATGGTTTGGTTTTTCAGAGTAAGGTTCATACTGGTCCAAACCATCTTGCAATTTCAATGTCAGACTTCCATAGTTTTTCCGAACCACCTCTAAAATCTGGGAACAAGATAGGACTTAAACATTATACTAGTAGGAAGCAGATGCACCATGACTTTTTTCTGAGTCATATGAATTATGAATTGTACACTCAGTGCAATTAGGGAGCCACAAACCTTAACTCGCTATATTTTAAAATTGTGTACTGCTCCTATATTCGTTCCTGATCAATCTATACTTTCAGAAAAAAACTCTCATTGTATTAAGTTGCTAAGGAGTGAATAATTGCCTTAAGAGGAGGGGGCAGTTATTTTTGCAAGATAGATCCAAATAAGAGTGTAAAATGAGAGAGTTTTTGCGAGTCAACATTTCCAAATGGCCTTAATATTAAATTTTACAAAATATCAAAAGGTTAAAACTGGCAAAAGCAAAACTATATAAAAAAGAAATCTCACATACTTGATCTTCAGATGGTGTCGATAAGGATTGATCGGATAGCCAACTATCTATTTTTGGGGCAAAATGATTGACAATGGCTCTGAAAAAAATTGGAAAATATGAAAATTATAAAGTAATATTAAAATTTGGAAACTCTGCAAAGAAAAATAGTGAATCAAATTAAACCTACCTTCTCCACGTGTAATTAATGAGCAACGAATTGGCCTCATTTTCAGTGGTATAAAACCCAAATAAAAAATTGAATCGCAAAGGAAAGTAAGAGCTATAATATTTTTCTGCTATCGAAGGTTCTTCATGGCCCTGTCACTAATATAAAATGAAGAATGGAGGCATAATGGTTGATTTGATACTATCGCCTTTGATGACAATAAACACTTCAGTAGCAAACAAGTGCAAAGTTGAATTATTATACCTCAACATATATTTGAGCCTCTGCTATTCTTTCTTTCAGGATTAAACCTTTTTGTAGTATAATTTTTATCCACAGGCTCTGAGGATTGTTGAAGAAAAAATAAAATTTAAATAATTTGGCATATTTAAAAAAATTGGGCTTTAAATACAAAATTTCATTTAAAAAAGTCAGCACAGCCTCAACTAAAATTGAACTTACCTAACATTAATTAAGCAGTTTGTTAATGAGATTGCCGATGACTTGAATTCACCATCGGTGGACGAGTACCTGGAAGCTGTGAGGGAATAAAACAGAACAGAGTAAGTATGGATTATAGAGGGATCTTTCCAGAATACACAGAACTATAGGTGAACATCTAAAAAATAGAGACTTTATAAAATGTTCCTAAAGCTAAAGGAAGTTGGGGAAAAAGATGAAACTGTAGCATAGGTACTTGAAATCAGAATTTTTGCAGCCTTGTAAGAAGATATATGAAGGAGATACATAGTGACAAAAACAAATCTAAATAGCATTTTAAGGCTGTTACTGATGCTCAAAAATAATGTGAGTTGACATTTTGTTAAACACATCGATGGTAAAACTCCCAAATCACGTATTTCGTTTACAGTGTTTTGAATCTTTGCTGCCTTTTTATTTCTTTGAAGAAAAACAAACCGACATCATATCATGAAGTTTACACCGAATTTTCTTCTTACAGAAGGAAAAGAAGAAAAATCACGAGAATTTTTAAGATTTAATGTGGAGTAGTTTCCTACTCAAAAAATAAAGAATGACAGGAAGTCTGCTAAGCCGCAAACCGAGATACAGGGTTTGAGAGTTTCACCATTGACATTCGACTTTTATTAGAGAATTATCAGAGGCTACTATTGTCCCGCTACTAATTTCTTTCCGTCATATACTACCATTCTAAGGAAGAACGCTGTACAGCTTTCAGACTTTGCCACATTTCTATCAATGTGTATGTATGAGCCGCTTTTACGGCGCGCTAGGGTGCTCTGCGACGCCTACTCTCCACAGGAATCTGTCATGGTAGAGATCCTCCGGAAGCTGGCATCTCTCCATCTCTTCATGGATGCTCTCTACCCACCGCTACATTTCTATCAATAAAGATCAAAATTGCAGGAAAAATTGTGAATTTTATTTTCCTTTGAATTTTAAAATAATTTTTTACTCAATTTAATCAAACAGATCTGAAAATTTCAAGGGATAATATGCATAACTTTCCTTAAAAAGAGATTTTTAAACTGAGGAAATTTGGCAACTCTTGAAAATTCATACAAAGTTCTTCCTTAGCATATCCGTACAGCAGGAATGAGCCTCTTTTTATTTTCCACCAACTTTACTGAGGAACAACACAACAATAAGCTATCTTCATCAACACTGATGATAAAGAAAGACTTACCAAAAGTATAAAGGGCATCAAAAACGGTGTGCATCCGTATTATTTCATAATAAAGTTCATCATAACTGTTTGGTGATGGAAGGAATGAGTCACCATACATTATGAATAAGTTGAATATATTTACAACCTGGAATCATATATTTAGGTAATATTAAAGGTAAAATGAAGACATGACGCAATAAAAAATTGCTCCGAGAAGAAATGAACTGATACTTTTAATTTAAGAAGAATTAGGACAGAAAAGATTAAGCTTTGAATATTTTTTTATTCTTCCTTTGTCCTTTACTTATTTTACTTGGTATATTGCTTTTGTGTGATGTTGACTGGAAATAAATATACTTGACCTGCCAAACAACCTGCTTGAATCAATACTTTGAAAAAGGGCAGGAGTCCATTTTTCAAACTTGATTTTTTTGCTTTTATGAACCCTCCAATTGTCCTTACCATATTACTTGAGAAAGCCGTTGAGAAACATACTGCTTAAGTTTGCTTCTTGGAGCGCAGATGACAGACGCACAGAAATGCGTAAAAAGAGCGTAAAAAATGAAAAAAAAACTAGTATGAAAAATTGGACTTCCTCCTATTTTGAAAGAACTAATTGACTTGTGATCCTTCTTCACCAGTTATGCGGGGTTTGCAAAAAAAAAAAAAAAAAAAAAAAAAAAAAAAAAAAAAAAAAAAAAAAAATGTTAGGAAGGTAAAAGTTGGATGACAGAAAAGAGGTGAACATTGTATTTAATTTCAGTAGACTGAAGTATAATTATCATTGGTTTATAACATAAGAGGCATTATTTTTCTAGTGGAAAATTCACCTCAAGTTTTGGTTGTATAGCCTTTAAAGTCAATTCACACATATTTTGTTGACACGGCATTGACACAAAATTGTGTTTCACGGCACTTTTTTTTTCCAAGAACATCCATTTTGACCGCTGGCATTGAGCTACTTTCAAAGTATGAGAGGTTAATAATTCTTGATACAGGCAACATACCTGAGATCCTAGAGAAAATATATCATATTTCTTGGCAAATTGAGCTTTATGTAGGGTTAAAAATTTAAGTAGAGAAATGAGGGCACTCCACAAGTTTTTCCATTGATAATTCAGTCGAACCCTCGATTTTTTCTGGTAACAGAGAATCCGATGTATAATTCCGATTGCCAGTAAAAATAGCTCCAGGGGAAATTTATTCATCATATGACTCATAATGAATTCAACGATTAGATCTGAAAGAGAGCAAAAGTAAAAGAAAAATTAATTAGCACTAGACCACAAATGAAACCTCCTGAACCCTCACCTTGAACCAGCAATAAGCAATGATTCACTTGAGATTTTTATGTTATCGAAGAGACTTCGGTGGATGTATAACAGAGAACACCAAAAAAAAAAAAATGTCAGATAATGGAGAAACATTTAAAAATACAAGAGATTAACTAGGAATTGTTATGTACAGATTTGCGTAAAGCTTGGTTCACCAAGAATTTAAAAGTAATTAGTTGAATCCGGAACACAGTTAGAAATGTTTATTCACTGTTCACATACGAATATAACAGTTTTCAGCAGTATTAAATAAAAAATGTAGGCACTTACCAACTAGAGTTGCAGCCAACGTTTGCGGCTGAGAATCTAGGGTTATCTTCCGATGTCGCATTGGTAATCGATATAAAATAACTTTGAACATCAGATTTGAATCATGCATATAAAAGTTTGCATATTGATCTTCAGCAATACATGACAATATGATAAAACATAATTTTGTACTATTTGCACACTTTGGGTCTTGCATAACAATTGAACTGTGAAACAAAAAAGAGTCAGAATCAGGTAACGCAAACAGTAAATTATACAACATTTATAGCCCTCTTAGAAGAATAATTTTTGGACACATTGATGTGTGAAATTTTACTTATTTCAAAAATAAAATAGTCTCAAAATTGACTCCGTTGATTTCTTTATTTATTTTGTAAAAAATCATGTTGACGCAGACTCAAAATTCATACCAATGCTTATTCCTCGAAGCAATTTTCTTTCGATGTTAATGTCCCAAATCAGAGATTCAAACGCATTTATAAATTTTGAGAAAAATAGGTTTTGTTTCAATGAAGTTGAGATAAAAAAGAGTGAGGTTTAAATACAGATTGGTGAGTATCATAGGCTAATTACACTGAGTTAAAAACTTAGTCACATAATATGTAAAATTTACCTTGAGAGCAAGGCAAGAAGCACATAATGCCTAGAATGAACCTGTATAGCTTTGATTTCCATTAACTTTTTGAAAAATATGGAACACAATTGGAATGTTTCTACATTGCCTACAACTGTGACTGAAAATTCAGCTTAAGTATTTTTAAAACCTTGGCCATGGCAGACATACAGTTTTTCACACAATAAAATCAATGAGATTCATAAAATCAGAAACATATTGAGGAGTAGGACTGTGTTTTGACAGAAATAAGCGAATCATTTTTTAAACATTTGGACATAAACCAGTGCTTGATAATTAAATTTGTTTTGACAAAATGTAGTTTTCTGCAAGGGTACAGAGACTTCTTAATGACGCGATCATGATTGCAAAGCCGCTGGCAAGAAAAAATGGAAAGGTTAGCAAACTGTGACATCAAAATTGCGTGTTTTTTCGAAATTAAAACTGACAAAATTAAAACAATTGACGACTTACTTCGTAAATGCACAGTTGTCCCGGGACAGTGATGACAAATATGCTTGTTAGTGTAAGTGAATGGGTTAATTTCAAAGGACTTTTAGTTTTAACACTTATTTGTAACGATTAGATGTAAAATCTTCATACTATTCTCAAGTATTGCTAATAATGAGTCAGTTAAGCTCCGGAGGGATTTGCCTGCAAATTGTCCAATCTTACAGTTTTCGGTACGAGAAGAACGATGCGCATGTTAAAATTTCACGAAAAATTGTCTCCGCGGAGATATAATGCTTCCTTTTTAGGGGTCCTCCAAAATGTGTTTGAACCAACCGCCATGAATCTTCGAATCTGTACGCGTCATAGACGGGAAGATGGCGGCGCCAAAGCCGACCTGCTTACTACCGCCACGCTGCCGATGTTGACATCACGATTTCTTGTTTGAGGTTAAGCAAGTTCTGTGTGAATGTTTCATATCCTACATACATCTGTATTGCATTCTGATTGAAAAGCTTAGAGAATTAGGAACAATGGGTGTGAATCTCAAACAGAGTAACCTACATAACCTCCGATTGACCAACAAAAACATACCGCCAACGTAACGCCACCGTGTATTCTTCCACTACGCATTCCGCCGCCATATTGATCGTGACGTGTACGTGCGAAACCTACGAGCGCGCAGTTCAAATGCCGTTTTAGGCCACCCTAATTTTTGGCACTTTCGAATAAACTTTTTCCCGTTTGCAGTCATCAAAAAAATTTAGGAAAAAAACTGTAAGCTTTGGCCACTTACTTCATTCAAATGACACAATAAAAAAAATGACTTGACTGACTCATTCCAGCGATCCATTTCAATGGGATTCCAAGGTTACTGACTTTTTCATTGGATATGGACAAGAAGAAAAAAAGTAGAGAACTCACCAATATTGAAAAAAAGTGACTAGTAATGTTGACTGTTCTAACCCAGCGTTAGAATCATCTTGTGGAAAAGAGCCTACTTTAACATCAGTTTGAATGTGTGCTAATGTTGTCATAAAATTTCGATTGAGGTGGACAACCTCGTATAATGCAATCAACGCACCCGTATTGCAGCTGAAAAAGTGAAAAATCAAATTATTAACTGGCAAGCTAGAATTTTAAGTATTGGTTTCTTTGTATCATTTTTTGCACTAGGAAAGCCTTGTGTTATCAGTGGAGCAATGCGTTTAAGGATTTTAAAATTCAATAACGATAAAAGAGATTATATGTGATTGCAATTGCAAATGCGATTAAAATTGGGGAAAAAATAATTAATGATGATTACAGTTCATCATCTGATGAGAAAGATGGCTCATCCATGAGAGGGCCTGAATGAATGTTCAAGTCTCTGCTTGAAAATATTCACACATGTAGTTTACTTACTTTACTTGCTGCATTCGAGAATAATCACCCTCTGTCCCAAACATAAGGCCGACCATGTTAGTTATCGAGGACAGCCAACTAGCTTGTATTTCAGTTTCATCTGTCTCAGACTGATGACATAGTTCTGATAGAGCCCCAGTTAATACCTGCAAGCATTGGATTTGAAATATGCTCAGGACAATGGATTAAAAAGATAGACTGCAAAGAAAGGATAAATCATGAGAGATGTAGAGTGCTTAAAAATGTTGCCATGACTCTTGGATGAAGCAGGTTGCTTTATTCAATGCTGACAGAGGAGCAAGTAGAGTAAAAAAAAAAGTTAGTAAACCATAGAAAAATTGTTAAGAGTTGCTTGTAGTGTATTAGAGTTATTTTGAATTTTTATAATCGTTATAAACAAATAAATTTCTGGCAGACAAAGAGGTAATATTAGAATATTAGAGAGGATGTAATAATAAGAAGAAAATCACTCAAATTCTAACAAGCCTAAAAAATTAGTGCCGTTCTTAAATGCAACTAAAGACACACCAGGGTTCTATGACTGGGGCAAAAATGCAATTTCTTACCTGGCCATAGCCATTCAAAGCCAGTTCATTGTCTAGTATTGAAAGTTTGACTATGTATGGGTTTGATAACTCGTACTTTCTGTAGTTGACTAAAAGAGAAATCAACAGCAAAACATCACTGCCATGAATTGCTCTGCTTTCTGGGTTACATAGAAGCTAAACAAAACAAGATTCACAAATTAATTTAGGATGTAAGAGAAAATTTAGAAACAAACATGATGAGAATTGACTATTCAGTGGCAGTGTTGGGAAAAAATTATTTTAAAATTATTCGTCCAAAAACGAATAATTTGTTCAATCGTGAATGCCGATTGACAAATAATTCGTCTCCTGATTATTTGGTGAAATAATCGAGACCAAATAAATTGTCTAATTGTGCGCGCCGATTGAAAAATAATTTGTCTACTAATTATTTGGTAAACTAATCGGGACCGAATAATTCGTTAGTTCTCAACTGACAACTGACCAAATTATTCGTAGGTCGTCAATCCGACAACTAATAGGGGCCGAATTATTCGTCAATCGTCGGAAACAACTAACGACTAATTCGTGGTTGTCAAATCTGCAATTTAATCGGGCCGAATAATTTGTCAATTGGACAACTAATTGGAACCGAATAATTCGTTAGTTGTCAGCAGCAAGTCGTTAGTTTAAAAAAATAATCGGGACCAAATAATTCGTTAGTTTTAGAGAGCAATTAATGAATTTTTTTTTTTTTTTTTT